TAGTGCTGAGCTCCTTACAGCTAGGGCCTGTCTTATGCTTCTTTGTAGCCCTAACACAGTGTCTGGCACACAGTAGGTGGTTAATAAGTGCTTGTTTTCCAAAGGATTATCAGGAAATGCTCTCCTCCAGAGAAACAAACAACCAGTGGAGTCTAAATGCAGATTGAAGCAGATTTTTTTAAACTTTCTTTTTTTGGGGGGGGGACTGTGTTTTCTTTTGATATGTGGCTAATATGGAAATAGGTTTTACATGGCAGCGCACGTATAGCCTGCGTCAAATTGCTTGCCTTCTCAAAGAGAGGGAGGGTGAAAACATTTAAAACTCAATTTTAAAAAGTGAATATTGTTTTTACATGTAATTGGGAAAATAGATCATTTTCTAAAATGAATAAATAAATGATTATTATTTTCTGAGCTTTCCTCAGACAGGCTGACACTGTTCCTTCAGGATTGGGACGCTTTTGTATTCATCTTAATCGCCTGACCTGCTGTCGGCTTTTAAAAATCTGAATTGGGGGCAGCTAGGTGGCTCAGTGGATAAAGCTCCAGCCTTGGAGTCCGGAGGACCCGAGTTCAAATCTGGCCTCAGACACTTGACACTTACTAGCTGTGTGACCCTGGGCAAGTCACTTAACCCCAACTGCCTCACCAAAAAAAATAAAATAAAAAAAATAAACATCTGAATTGGCTGGAGAGCTCCCTGTGCATCCACACCAATCTTCCTGTTCCTCCTAAGCCTGTTTGTGGCCTCAGTCTCATTCCCATGATCCCCTCTCTTGGCTTGTTTCCTCTGTAGAATTGCTGGAATACAACCTTAGCCTTTCTGCCAGACCTTTGCATAGTTTTTCCAAATCCTTGGATGAGTATCAGTGTGTCCTCCGGCAAAGGCCTAGATGGAGGCTCCCTTCCCCCAAGGGTCACCTCCTTTCTCCTTTAGCCCCTGGCTCCTCCTCCATTCTGCTCAGAAGCCTGCCTTAGAAAGTGACTCCCTTAATTACTTCCTCTACCTTTGGAAGGATCAGTCTCTTTAAGGCAAGCCAAGAATTGGCAATGTGAGTGAGCTCCATCAGGTGAGGGAGTGAGGTGAGTCACCGGGCCATTTCCTGGCCCCGGCTTCTTCCTCCCTCCATGTACCTTTGCTGGCTCCTCTCCACCCTTCAAGTTCCTCCCATGAGGATATTTTCTTGAGCCACATTCCTCCACCCTATCTTTGATCTCTTCAGCTTTTCAGGAAGATTGGTCTTTCTGCTTTTCCCACCCCCCTTTTTTTTGGGGGGGGTGCACTGGCCCCCTTTGTGCTGTCTGGTGAAGCCCAGGGAAACTCTGCTCAGAATCATGATTTTAAATTCATAAAATACATAATAAGATGACTAAGGAAACCAATGATAGTGAAAGTTATTCAAATATATCTATTAAAAATGCAAGTTCTGCATGACCTTCTCTGGCCGTGATCTGATATGGGGGCAGCAGGGCTGGAAGGGCAGAATCCGAGAGCCCTGTAGTCACAGGGTTATAGATTTAGAACTGGAAAAGACCTGAGACCACCGAGTCCAACCCCTTTATTTTACAGATGAGGAAACTGAGGCCCAAATCCAGTGCTCGGACCTTCCTTCATAAGAACTCGAGGAAATAAATTTACAACTTGGAGAATGGATTATTATCATTATTCCTGATTTGCTGCCATGATTAGGCAGCTCTCTTGCTGGTTGGGGTTGGTAGAAGAAGCGGGCCAACCCCTCTCCCCCAGGAAATAACCATCACCTGGACAAGGAAACTCTCCCCTCCCCCCAACCTTTTCTACCCTCTTGCATCTGTGGGGCCAGTCTTTGTGGTTATCTTAGAGTGAAGGCAGCCTCCTTATCTTACAGAGAAGGAGACTGAGGCCCGGAGAGAGGAAGACTTTGGCCCAACTCCTGTATCTCATTTGGCACTGTTAATACCACTCAGATACAAATCCTGTGGCTCCAGTCCAAGCCTCAGAACTGGGCAAGGATTGTGACTGAAGTCCAACAGCACATTTTCGGGGACCCAACAATTCAATGCCTCATTAAAAAACAAAATGGAGAGTTTGACTCTCTTTCTCATGAGATAGCCCCTGGCATACTGGGGAGGGTATAGGGAAGGATGCCCAGGATGCGGAGTATGGAAATGCACTAAGATATATCCACGTCATCCCATAGTTGTGATCCAGCTTTATTTATGGTGTAAAGAGCTCCTGGTAGGGAAACTCCCTCTACCGATGCACCAGGGCTTTGAGAAGCAAGGACTCCTCCAGGTCCCATAACTCTGAGCGTGTGGCCAAGGTGGGATCTGGAGCCAGGACTTCCTGACTAACGGCATTGACTTTCTGGGCACTATGCTAGCTTTGGCTTTAGTGCTGGTGATGAAGGGAGTGCCTCGTGCCCATTGGCCAAAGGTCCCTGGAAGAGGCTCCAGGCTCAACTCAAACCACCTCTTGTCAGAATCCTGTGCTGAGCTGGGTTGCAACAGCTGCTCCCAAGAATTGTGGAGCCATTTGCTGAGTTCTTAGCCATGAGCCCCACTGCAGAGTAACCAAGTTCATCCCAGTGCTCTGGGCCCTCCAGCCGCTGGAAGGCAGGGACAAGAGCTGGTGGAAGTCCCCAGAATGCCCCAGAGGGCTCAGAGCCCTCCCAGGGTCAGCTTCCCCTCCAGACCTATCAGAGCAGAAGACTGCTGGGAGAGAGGTCCAAAGGCCCAGCCATACGCTGTCTACCCGTGTGAAACCTAACCTCTAAGTGGCCTACCTGGGGACAGCAAGGAGTCAGTGGTGTGAGTTAGTGGGTAGGCCTCCAAGTGAAGGTGATCAGGGCCAATATCTGATCCTCTCAGCTGCACCTCTGCACAGCCTCAGGCCTTGCAGCAGTCCTTTGGAGCAGAGATCTGGATGAATGAGAATGCATAGGAAGTAAAGGGCCCCTCAGGGCTGGATGATACAAGGGGCTGGCTTCTCCAGCTTCCTTCAAGAACTGTGAGGCCCCTCTTGAGTTTTAATGTAATCCGTAGTTAATTCAGCCCGCCAGGTGTGGACTGGAAGGAGCTTGGGAGCCCATTTTACAGAAGAGGAAAACCGAGGTCCAGAGTACCATAGGCTCAGGGACCTTAGAAACCAGCTACTCCAACGGCCATCCCTGAGGGAAGTAAGCTGACCACAGGAACACAGCAGAGCAAAGCAGCTTTGGTTCCACCAGACCTGCTTTCAAATACAGACCCCCAGCTGGTATAACCTGGAATCATTTTTTTCCTGCTAATAAGTGAGACCCTGTTTTTTCACCAACATTGGGCCAAAGGGGCTCACTGTTAAACTTACCAGGTAGGAAGCGTTTATAAAGGTCTCACATCCACTCGTCTGGCACTATAGCCAGAGACAAAAAAAGCCTGCCCTCACGGGGCTTCTGTTCTATTGGGGAAAAATCACACACGTGTATGGCAGCCAGGAACCACGATTGTGCTTCTAATCCCACCCCAGACACGAGCTACAGGACCGCCCAGGCCAAACAGATTCTTCTTCCTCGTCCTCATCTCTACAAATGGGGAGGGGGGCCTGGCCCTACGTGGCCCCCTCGTATCTGAGCACAGGTTTATCGATAGTAAGAAGCAAAGAAGTGACATTGGTGGTCTCCGATTCCAGTCTGGTTTCCAAGTCCCGTTCCCCTGCCTACTCTCTGCAGGAGGGCACATGAACTGAGGGAGGGGGACTCGAATTTTCTTCTCCCACCCCACCTTCAGGGCCCCACGGACGTGTCTCATGGATAGAGCCAAACCGTGTTGTGATTTTTCACATCTCCCTTTTCATTAACAAAACCAGGCAGTGAATTGTGAGGCAGAAACGTGTACATTTGGCTCCCAAGTGGGATAGGGCTGAGGTCGCCCCTTTCCACACATGAGACCCCCTACTCCTACACACACATACTACCATAAATACAGGCCCCCTGATCACAGATCATGGAGCAGGAAGGGAAGGCGGAGGAGTCTCTTCATGTTTCTGTCCGGTTCTGGGACGTGGGGACGGGGGTCCGGGGATCCTGCTGGGATCAGGGGAAAGCAGGTGAACAGAGAGAGACCCACCAGCTAGAGGCCGCCTGCATCTGCTCTCTTCTGCTCCCTCTAAAAGCCTTCATAAATAAAACTTCACAGTAGCTTAGAAAATACCAACTCCCCAGCCTTCCCAGGTCACTGGAGCTAAGCGCCCAGGGAGGGGACCTGTGACCCGTGCTCCAGGGAGAGAAGGTGATTGCTGTCCTCCGGCCCGGGCCATGAAATCAGGCACCGGGAGCCCGGGGTCCCAGCGGCTTCTGTCCGGGGCCGCAGGGGTTGGGAGTCAACGGCCAGGACATCCAGCGTCTCAGGCGTGAAAGGATTCCATAAAGCGGAGCCTTTGAGGTAGTCAGAGTGAACCATTTCTCCCTCCCAAGGCTGGCGGGCTTTGGGAGGCGATGAGATGAGAAGCTTGCTAGGGGCCGGCTGAGCATCTGTGAACTTGCCGGCCACCTCAGGGCTGAGCCCCTGGAGTCCAGAGAGGGTTTAGTGGTGATCAAGGTGATTTTCTCTGCAGGCTTGTTTGTGCAAGGGCCCCGAGGGGCTGGAGGGCCCACAGGACCAGCCTCAGGCCCTGGCAGCAGAAGGTGGAGAGCTAGAGGGGAGGGGGTGCGGGGGGGGGGGGGGGGCCTCCCCTCGTGCATTACCCATCTGCCCCAGCCCCAACTCAAGAAGAGGCAGCTAGCTTTGCCTCTGGTGGAAGGTGTCTCTTTAAAAAAACCAAAAAGGCAGGCCCCCGGGGCGTGGAGGTTGGCGAGCTCCCGGGCTCCTGCTCTCTCCATCCCCAGTGGCTTTCTGGGCACTTGGCAGGTGGGTTAGGGCTGGTGCTCCTCCTCTGGCAGGGTCCGAGGCCCACGCCCCCGCAGACGGTCCAGTCAGCAAAGCCGGAGGTCTGTGCGGCAGCCCGGGGGCCGGCCGGACCCCGGCTCCCTCGGGGCTGCAGGCTAGAGCACTCGGAGCTGGCGGGCGCAGGTGAGGTTGCCGTGCACCAGCTCCCACATGCGCAGCAGCTCGTCGGGCAGAAGCTTGTGCACCACCAGCATGGAGCGGAAGAAGCACGGCTCCTTGTTCAGGGGGCTGCTCTTGTTGCGCATGATGCCGAACGTCTTGAAGCCCACGTGGGCGACGGGCTGCACGCGGAGCAGCTGCAGGCACATGCCCAGGAAGACGTCGTCGATGGGGTAGAGCTCCAGCGTCTCGGAGGCCCGGTAGAGGCGGCGAGCCAGCCCGCCGGCCATGAGGAAGCCCCCGCCTCCCGCGTACGGCGGGTACAGGGGCTTGCTGTACAGGGAGCCCGGGATGTAGTACTTGTTGTCCTTCTTGCGGATGGGCCGCGCGCGGTACAGGACGTCGCCCACAAACAGGTCCTCGTCGGGGCGCCGGTCCGCCAGGAACTCCAGCAGGTTGTCCGGGCTGACGAAGACGTCGTCGTCGCCCTTGAAGACGAAGCGGGCCCGCGGGCAGAAGGTGTCCTGCCACTTGAGGAAGTGCACCTCCTTCAGCGTCAGGTTGAAGAAGCTGTCCAGGAAGTCCCACTGCAGGATGTCCCCGTAGAGGCGGTCCTCGTAGGCCAGCAGCTGCTGGTAGTGGGCTCGCTCCTCCTCCTTGGAGGCCGTGCCCAGGAGGAAGAGGGTCCGCACGGCCCCCCGGCCCCCCTCGGCCTTCCGCTCGCGGCCCCAGGTGCGCCGGATGGCCTCCCGCCGGTCGTGCTGGGTGATGACGGACTTCACGACCACCAGCAGGTAGACGTCCCCCTCGCACTTCTCGGGGTGATTCATCAGGATGGGGAAGTAGCGGCAGTGGCGGTACAGCAGGAACTGCTGGAAATGAGGCTCCAGGGTCTGGAACCAGGCTTGCCCCGTCAGGTTGGTGTTGGCAGAGCAGTTGGAGGCCCTCACGTCCCAGGCCGGCGGCTCCCCGGCGGTGGGCGCCGGGGTCACGGCCTTGCCGGGGAGCTTCCAGAATCCGACGGTATCGGAAACGCCGCCGGACTTGCCACGCTCTAGGCCGGACGGGGAGGAGTGCAGGAGCTGGCCTGGGGTCAGGCCTCGCTGGAGCACCGTCAGTGCCGCCAGCACCACCACGGACAGGCACACGGAGCGGTAAACGGTCTTCTTCCTGGGAAGGAAGGAGGCGGGAGGAGGTCAAGAGCCTGGCCCTACTGCCCTGTCCCCTGGCTCCAGCCCCGCGGGGAGGGAATAAACATTTATGAAATACGTGCCAGTTGCCAGGCATTGCACTAGGCGCTTTACAAACATTAACTGGTCTGATCTTCACAACCACCCTGGGAGGTAGAGCCTATTCTTAGCCCCATTTTACGGCTGTTGGGGAAACTGAGGCAGCAGACTGAGGTTTAAGTGACTGGCCAAGGGTCATACAGCTAGGAAGGATCTGTAGCCAGACTTGAACTCAGCTCTTCCCGACTCCAGGCCCAGCGCTCTATCCCCCAGCTGCCTCCAAAGTCCCAATATCGATGTGGTTATATAATTTAGCACCTGTGCTTTTCAGAGGAGGAAACTTGAGGCCCAGAGAAGCTCCCTGCCACCTTTACTTCTCCAGGGCGCAGCCCAGGCACCTGGCACGGGGTAAATGCTCGTTAACCAACTCCCTTCTCGGATTTTCCTGGAGCTCTTTGGAGTTGTGTTGTGTCCTCCCAAAAGCTGTTTTGTAGACTGGGCAGCTGGGGATGGAGCCTCCCCCAATCCACAGAAGGTAAGCTCTTGGGGGGGGGGGGCACGGGGATTGTCCTGAGTTTGCCTTTCTGTCCCCAGCGCCTCACAAATCATAGGCCCTTCCTTGGAAGTGACTGAGGGAAAGGACCAGCAAAAGCTACTCAAAAACTCATTTCCTCCTTCCTCTCTCTCCCAGCCTCCCCTGGTTCAACCAGCTTCAACTGTGCCTTTTCTCTCTCTGCCCAAGATGGGCAGACCTCTGGCAACCGTGGTCCTGGAAGACAGGAACACTCCCATTCACCTTCCATGACACTCAGCACTCGGATCACGATTTCAGACGTCAGACAAAACGGCCTGACTTCCCCAGGTGGGATGGTGGGGAGGGGCGAGGATGGGCCTGCCTGAGGATTCCTACCTGAAAGGCCAGCCACAGCCTGCTGGTGAGAAGAGCCCCGGAGGGAAGGAGAGCCACTCCTCAGTGCTGGGCCCAGGCCCTCGGGTGCTTGTCCAGCCAACCCCTGCCTCATTTTCCAAGATGGAGATCCGGGGTCAGTCCTGCCCCACTGCGCCCGTCCAGTAGCGGGCTGGGGGCCAGTCTGAGTCTGTCACTGCTTGTCTTGGAGGGGGAGCATTGGGTCAGGTGGGCAGAGGGTCCTTGGGGAATGCCTAGCCTGCCTCAGTTCAACCATACATTTTGTTATGTGCTTGGCCTAAAGACAGACCCTACTTACAAAAAACTCATAGTCTAATGGGGGTAATGGGAAGGCTATATGTGCAAGGTGATGATAATGCCAAGGACAGTGTTATCCCACTGTGTTCACAGAGCCGGAATCTAGCCGTCTAACAGATGAGGAAACTGAGGCGCAGAAAGGGGAACTTGGGCGCCTTAGGTCACATAACTAAGTGGCCAGGCTGAGATTCGCCAAAATCACAGCTCTAAAGCTGGAAGGGCCCATAGAAGACACTTGGATCAATCTAATTTACAGATGAGGAAATTGAGGCACAGCCTTGCCTAATACAGGTATTGTGGCAAAGCCAAGATTCCAGCTGAGCACTTTACCCTTCAACGCCCTCATCAGGGTCGAGAGATACCAAGGCTGGAGCCGACTTTGGCCAGGGGCCCTTAGGCATCCTCTAGGACAATGGCTTTTAAACCTTCAGGGGCCCCAGGAGCCTCTAATAATAATCATTAATAATTAGCATTTATCTACCCTAAGGCACTTTTGCAGAGGTTTATTCACACTCAAATGGACTTTTCAGAATTGGGTTTTTAAACGTATAAAAGAAGATTTGAAAGGAAACCAATTGTATTAAAATACAGACGTCATTTTCTTCCCATCCAAATCACAAGCCAGGTTTTTGGATGCGCCTCCCCCAGAGCCCTCGGGCTGGCCCCTGGGACCCAAGTACCTGTCACCTCAAAGGAGTTCTCACCAATGTATCCGCCAGCCAGCTCTGGGGTTGAAATGGAGCTGCTTGGCTCCCAAAGACCAGACATTGGCTTCTGAGGTTCTAGGATTATTCATGGAGCTGGAAGGTACCTTCCTAACCATCTAATCCAACCTTCTCTTTTTACAGACGAGGAACCTGAGGTTAAGTGACTAAAGGTCAGGAGAAAGCCAGCTCCAGGCAATGCCTACCTCCGGTCCTCCCCCCCCCCCCCCCAGGCCCAACCTCTCTGGTCTCCAGAGGGGCAGCTGAAGTTCACTATTCCTGGCCTCAAATGGCTGCGGTGTGGGAATTGGGATGGCAGGAGAGATGGGGTCAGAACGCTTGGTCAGTGGATGGCCCTGCCAGGACCCCCAAGAATTGTGGGGGGGGGGGTAGGGGAGAGAGAAGAAAGCTTCTTAGAACTCTAGCCGACCTGATGTGTGTCAGGGAAGTGGGCAGGGCATGTGTGTCCTGAGATACAGAGCACCTGTGCAGGCCCCCACAGGCTTGTGGCCCATTACCGGGGGTTCATGAAAGAGAGATTCAGAGAGAAACAGTGGCCTGTATGTCTGCAACAGACAGTGTGCCCTACTGTTAGTGGGTCCAGAGCACGTGTGGTTGCCTGACCAGGACGCCCCTTCTCTGTAAATATTAAAGAGAGTGGCCCTCTATGCTGTGGTGGAGCCCAGGGCCCGTCCACCGTGCTAGGAGTGTCGTCAGAAAAGGACAGGCATCAGTCAGGGGTCGTTTTCCTTCTCTGAGCCTTCTCCCACAAGGAGGGGCTTGGACCAGACGCTCTGTGAAGCAGATGTCCCTCTTTCGCTTTCCCACAGGGCATCGGGGAGACCTGGGCTCAAACCCCAGTCCAGGTCTTGTGGCTTGTGACTGAGCAAATCGCTTCGTTAAAATGTGCTTTGCCACAATTTGGGGGACTGGGCATCTCGAGTCCCTTGTGATTCCGTTTTGGAGCAGTGATCCGAGAGCTCAGCCCTCTTGTTGGCAGAAGAAGAAATGGAGGGTTGGGGAGGGGGGAGGGACCAATCCTTGGTGACCTTGGGAAAGTGGGAGAGTTAGGATTCCACCCCAGGGCCTCAAGACAAGCTAAGACGTTTCTGCCGCCGCCCCCCCTCCACCTTAGCCTTCGGGCCCCTCTTCACCTCAGCTCCTCCCTCAATTTGTAAAACAAAAATAAGGGGGAGGGGGACCACAGGTAGGTCCGGCTAGCAAAGGAGCCTCAAGGGAGGATTCTTCATGAGTAACTCCATTCCCCCTGGCCAGAACCAGTTCGGGCCAACCCAAGAACCACAAAATGGCAGAACTGAAGGGACCATGAAGATTCTTGCTCAGGGCAGGAAACCGAGGCTCAGTGAGGTCGACTGACCAGTCTAGTTTACCAGATCACAGGTTTGGGGTTGGAAGGGCCATCTGGTCCTCTGAGGCGCAGGGAGCTTACTTCGCTTGGCCCAAAGAGGCAGAAAGGAAGAAAAGCACCTGGATCAGATCCTGCCTCCGCCGACTCCAAATCCAGCCTTTCCCCCACTGCCCAGGCTGGCTTGTTCAACCGTTTAGTTCCCAGATGAGGGAACTGAGGCCAGGGGTGGGGGTGGTATGTTCGGTGCCTCCCAGCTGGAGGCAGGTGTCAGAGCCTAGAGTCTACCCCACCTCATCGGTCCCCTGCCCTCCAACCCACAAAACACAGCCCTCTCCAAATTCCTCCGAGCCCCTCCTGGCCCTGACTCCACCCCTCCAACCATTGCCTGTGCTTCAGGACTCTGGAAGCCCGAGTTCCCGGGGCCAAGCCCACGTAAGGTTCGGGGGAGGGAAAGTTCGGTGAAGCTCTCCCAGAACTAAAGCAAGCCCCTAGCTGCGAGGGGCAGGCAGGAGAGCCTCGCTGCGGATGACGGCCAGAGGCTCCATCAGGACTCAGCTGTTCAAACCTCCAGCCTTCCTGCCTCCACATCGCAGCCAGAGTCAGCTGGAGAGCGGGAAGAGGACCCCACCTGCACTCCCTCTTCCCACCCCCCCGCCCCCTGCCCCTAAACCTAGGGACCATGGAGGGGCTTCCCCTCACCCGGGAGGCGGCAGGAGGGCAGACAGCCCATCTCTCCTCCTCATTAGGGAGCCCCAGCCCCAGTCCCCCAGCCCCTGCATTCTCCCATGCCAGAGGCAGGGTTGCTCACCACTGAAGCATGTTGGGCACACCCGGAGGGCGGCAGAGAGTTGGCTGAGCCTGGGAGCCTGGGGAGAGGGAGGGGAGGGCTGCTCAGCTGTTGCTACTGCTGCTGCTGCTTCTGCTTCTGCTGCAGCTGGAGGTGCTGGCTGCATGGGCAGGAGAGAGGGACAGAGAGAGGGAGGAGACAGAAAAAGTGAGAAGGAAGGGGAGGGACCGAGAGGAAAAGAGAGAGCCACGGATTCCTAGGCTCTTTCCTAAGCCTCTGGAGGCGGAGCCAGGGAGAGAGGGCCCCCGCTGGGAGGCAGGTATTTTAACCCTTTCCAGCCTAGGCTCTGGCCCCAGGCACCTTTATAACCTCTCTGGTGCCAGAGTCCCTCGGAGCAATCAGCCTAGCATCAACCAAGCCATTAGCATTTCAGGAGGGCGCTCACTGTGCGCCGAGCCCCGTGCAGAGCGCCGGCCGGCCCAAGGTGGATGGAGTCTCCAGCCCTAACCTCTCTCCTAGCCTCCAGCCTCCAATCTCCAGCTGCCTCTTCAACTCAAGCTGTGCGAAGCCGACCCGTGGTCTTTGCCCCCCCACCCCCAAACTTCCCTGGGATCGTCTGGAGAACCTCCGTCTGTCCTCTCGGTCCCCAAGGTTCAGGTGTCCCTGTCTAATACCTCTCTCTCTCACCACCACGGGCTCCCTTGCCAAGTCCTGCGGTTTCTAGTGTTACCACACTTCTCGTCCACACCGCCCCCTTGTCTCCTGTGACACCCCCTCCCCCCCACTATTGCAGTAGCCGGCGGGGGGGGGGGCAGTGTGCTTGCCTCTAATCTCCACCTCCTACTCAATAAATTTCCCTGGCTCCCTATTTCCTCAAGGATCAAATTATAAAGTCCTACGTTTAGCTTTTAAAACCCTTTACAGTTTGTCCCCACCCCTCTCCGACCAGCCTCCCGATGTACACACACCCCAGGATTCAGTGACCTCTGCCTCCTGGCTGTGCCTCAACTCTCCTATGTCCTCCTAACCCTAACCCTAATTGCGCTTCTGCAAGAAGCCTGTCTGACATTGTGCGATGACTAACTTTGATAGACTTAGCCCTTCTCAGCCATTCAAGGATCTGAGACATCTCCAAAGACCTCATGATGGAAAGTGCTGTCCACATGCAAAGAAAGAACTGTGGAGTCTGAATGCAGATCGAAGCAGACTATTTGCTACTCTTCTTTTCTCCCGTTGTGTTTTGTTTCCTCTTTCTGGGGGTTCCTCCTATCGGTTCTAATTCTTCCTTACACCGTGACTACTGTGAAAATATGTTTAATAGGAATGTATATGTAGAGCCTATATCAGATTGCACGCTGTCTTGGGGAGGGAGGGGGAGAAAAATGTAAAATTCAAAAGCTTGTGGAAGTGATTGTTGAAAAATCAAAATAAATTAATAAAAAAAGAGAAGCCTTTCTGAGTCCTCCCAAACCTGGGGCGTTTCCTCCCAGATTCTCCCCAGTCTGTTGCATGTGGCTTGTTTGTATGTATCCATCTCCTTCCTCTCTCCCTCTTTAACTCTGAGGTCTTGCAGTGCAGGGGCTGTCTTTTACCTTTCTTTGTGCAGATCCCCAGAGCCTGGCACACAGTAGGTGCTTAATAAATGCTTGTTGAGTGCCAAGGGTCATCAAGTGACAAGCAATTCACTTTCCCTCCCAGAGCCTCAGTTTGCTCATCTGTGGGCAGGATATTGGCGTGGATGGCCTCGAGGTCGTTTCCCAACCTAAGTTGTCTGTTACTGTGGGCACTTGAGGTTGGGGGGGGGTGTGAATAACCACTTCTTCAGGATGGCAAAGACTTCATGCTTCGGTTAGAGATTGGAGCTCTAGATCGAGCCAGAACTGGGATCAAATCCCAATACAACCTGGGCAAGTCATGGCCTTCTCTGGGCCTCAGTTTCCTCATCTGTAAAACGAAGGGGTTGGGTTGGATGACCTCTGAATGTGGGATCCTAGGGATGGATTTACAAGATAATAAGGGAGAGGAAAGGTAAACTTGGAAATGATTGGGGTGGGGGTGGGAGATGAGGAAAGACCACCGGAAGACCAGGTGCTTGTGCTGAGTCCTGAAGGAAGAGAAAGCTCCTAGGAGGCAGAGGGGAGGAGGGAGAGCATTTCAGGCAGGAGGCAGAGCCGGTGCAAAGGCATGGAGATGGGAGATAGAGTATTGTGTGTGAGGAACCAGCCCATGAATCAGCACCAGTCCTCTGGTCCCGAGTCCTCACTCCTTCTCCCTGTTCCCTGGTCCAGCTTGACCCAGATGTGAATCCTCCAAAAACCTGTCCCAGGCTGGTCATGTCCAATTCCACCTGGAGGGCCAGAAGACCTGCCTGGGTCTTTGGTGACTGCTCCTTCTTACTGTGAACGGGTTCCCTTCAAAATGTCGGGGTTCACTTTCCCTCTGAGGACTGTCTGCCTTGCTGGGGACTCCCTTTTCCCTAGCACTGAATTTGGATTAGCTAAACCTTGCTCGGACTGCACTGAGCCAGGGGGCACCATCTTGGTGTGGGAGGTAGAGGGGCTCTCCTCCGGAAGGAAGGTTAGCTTCGGTCAGTTTGGCCCCTGAGGGCAGATCTAGGAAGATGCCCCTGGGAAAAGCTTCCTAAGGAATGGGGCTGTCCCAGTGTGAAGTGGGCTTGCTCAGAAGGTGGCATCCTCTCACCTCCTCCCTTGAGGTCTCTGGGCAGAGGCTGGGGAGGGCGCAGGTCTAACTGGAGCTCTGAGAACCAGCATTCTGTGATTCTGTGTGAACCCATCCACCTCTCCTGCCACCTCCCCACTGCATCCATTCCAGACTCCTTGTGCACAGGGGCTGTCCCTAGAGGGACCCTGTCCTCCATCCTCCATAGGAGGCCTAACTCGGGCCACAGACTCCAGTCCCTCTTAGACTGTTCTGCATACAATAAGTGCTTAAAAGGAAGTTACTTGTTGATTGAGTGAAGAATTCTCCCCTAAGGAGAATTAGAACTTGGTTGGTGGGGAGCGGGAGACAGATTACTTTTGTGCCTACTGAGCCAGGCACAAGATCTGACTGACCAGTATCTCATTCTGGGATGCATCTCTGCTGCCTTTGGAGGGTGGGGAGCCAGGAGAGAGGGAGGCCGCAGAGACCGTGACTGTTGGGGAGAGGCCCATCGCCTCCCAGGAGTGGTCTGTGGTGACGAGGACTTGGAACGGAGGGGTCCGTTTCTGGATTCCTATCAGCTGCATGACCTTGGGCATCACCTGCATCTCACTGGGCCTCACTTTGCTTCTCTGTAAATCAGGGAGACCTCGCTCCGTGTTGTGAAGCCCAAGCATTTCAGCAGCTCCACAGCACTCTGGAATATCAGCATTACCCAGAAAGACCCAGGAAGGGAAGGTCTCTGGGAGCCAGAGGGGATCTTCTCACGTTGGCTCCATTGAAACCATAGTTCAAGGCCCCCTCCCAGCTGATAGCATCTTTCCTCCATCCTCCCCCTTTCTTTACTCAAAGCTATTTCCCTCACTAGAATGTAAGCTCCCAGAGGGCAGGGAGTTTCATTTTTGTCTCTGAATGCCCAGAGCCTGGTATAATCCTTGGCACATTGTAATCATTAACATGTTAACAACACTGGGTGACTGGTTGATTAATTGGGTGTGTCCAACTAGATATGGGTGAGAGTGGAGGGACAGCAATCTCTGGACTGGGCAGGACGTGTCCTTTCCAGGGCCCCTTCTTTCCTCTCTGTCCCCTGTCTTCTCTCTGGCTCTTTATCTTCCTCCCTTCTCCTTCCTCTACCTCTTTATTTTCCCCCATTCCCATTCACTCTCCCCCTTCCCCTCTCCCCTTCCCTTTATCCCTCTCTCTCCCCTATTCCACCCCCATACTTCTCTCCCCCTCTTCCTCTTTGTGAAAGTTTGCAAGGTGCCTGGGGTGAACTGCTCCCCTCCACCCTCCAGCTGGCTGAGGCCCAGCTGGCCTGTCCTGGGTGACCACTATCCATTAGGATGACAAAGCCTGGAGAGCTGATTGGCAGATCTCAATCTTCCCCATTCATCTGAATTGTAAAAGACGTGCCCTTCTCCGCGGTCAATTAGACGAGAGAGATCGAGCTCTGAGGGAATGGAAGGATGGAGTGGGCGTGGCCCTCTGGGTTTGTCCCCAGGACTTCACCCACATCCCTGGGCACAGCTGGGAGGGGCCTTAGAATGCGGAAAGTTCGAAGTTAGTTTGGGAGAGCTGGGAGGGACCTCAGAACCGGGCCAGAGCCAAAATGAAACCTTGGAACCGATTAGAAGAGACTGAGCATACTCCGTATTTGTGCCTTAGGTGCTAGTACAGGGCCTGGCACACCATAGGTGCTTAATAAATGCTTGTCAGTTGATTAATAGAATGTAGAATGTCCCAGTTTTGAGAGAATCCTTGAATGTGGATTGCTCTGAGGGCGGGGTCCTCCAATCCGGAATGTCTGCCTGCAAGGACTTGGGAGAGCATTTGGTCCTGGGATTCTTAGCCTGAAGCCCATGAACTTGTCTGGCCTGCCTGGTTTTTTCCCCTCTTAATATTGTGATGTGTATTTCTATGTAATTGGTAATCCTATGCATTTTATTTTACACATTTAAAAGCATTATTTGGAGAAGGGTCCTGAGGTTTCTTCCGATCTGACTGGGGCCCCAGGTGGTCATGGTTAAGAATCTTTGATATAGCAGCACCACCACCACCCCCATCTTACAAATGGAGAAAGTGAGGAACACAGACTGGCAGAGCTGGGAAGGCCCTTAGAACCCAGAACACAGACTGTCAGAGCTGGGAGGGCCCTTAGAACCCAGAACGCAGACTGTCAGAGCTGGGAGGAACCTTAGAACACAGAATACTTAAGTAGTCAAGATGTCACCTTAGAACAGAAAATCTAGAATGCTGGCGTTAGGGGACCTTAGGACCCAGATCCTCAGGGTTTTGTCAGTCACCTGAGGCACAGATACAGCCCCCGCAGGACCCCGGGGCCCTTCCATCCTGCCCGTAGCCAAACCCTCCGGTGTGAGTCATCTCTACCGTCAGGGAGTCTACATTCTAACAGAGGACATCTTTAGGGTGCTAGCTCCAAGCCTGGAGTTTCTGGATGAACCCCCAGGCTTGCCCAAACCACTTGAAATTGACAGACTTTTT